CTTTCAACGACAATTTCGAAAACAATGTACTATTATTCTACTCTTACTGCCGTGTCAAGCTTGCTCCAAAAAATGATCACAGGATGCCTGCTCAAATGAAAAAAAAAAATCCAAAAATTTGATCACAGGACGTTCTAAAGAACGCAAACCGAACCACGCGTCAGGATTGCGTAGCTGCAGCTCCAATCAGGTCACCACGCTCAGAATCATCCTTGAATTCCACATCGGTAAAACCCAAAGTAGTCGCCAAGCACCACACGAGCTGATCGTGGATGACCCTGTCTGTCAGAGCTTCCACTGTCCCCCACCTCCCCGCAGCGACGTCACCCTTGCCGGCGATGCCGGCAGGCACGATGTGCTCTGAAGTACCCCAGGTCGGGGTCGATGCTGAATGCCAGGCCGCCACGTGAACCCGGAGGAGATCCCTGACTCGATGGCGCCGGATCTTGCGGTCCCCGACCCACACCGGTCTCGCCGGGTCCCTGCCGCGCGGAGACGCCGTGGAGCGCCGCCACCTGGATCATCGCGGACTCGGAGCCTCGACGTACCTCCGCGCGCTGAGCCGCAGGGCGCGGAACGACAGCACCGGGTACAGCACGGCCTGCCGCGGCCCGTGGAACGACGTCGCCGCCCTGCCCGTGCGGTGGAGCTCGGTGCCCAGGGGCGCGCAGCAGCCTGGCCTCCGGCGCGAGCAGGTTCCTGCTCCGCCTTCTCGCGCCGCTTGCCCAGGGTGTAGGTCGGCGGGTGCTGCAGCGACAGAACGAGTGTCGCCGACGCGGCTGGCCTTGCGGTCCGCGACGAGACGCCCCTGGAGCTGGAGCGCTTCGCCGTACTTCACCACGCCGAGCCTCCACGCCTCCAGGACCTCCGCGCGCTATCGCTCATCTCCCCTCGCGGTCGGTAGGTAGGGAAGAGAGATGGTCGGGGAGCCAGATGCTCGACGCCTCGACGCCGTGGTCAGGGACGAGCAGAGAGGAGGAGGCGAAGGATGGGCACGGCCCACGGGCTTATGAGACGCCGAAAAGTGACCCAACCCACCCAAGCTAGAAAAAAGGGCCCAGAGGGTATAGTCCAGCGCCGCCGCCGCGAGACGCTCTCCAGCAACGCCCGAGCGACGGCCGCCGCCGCCCGACGCCCCTAACTCGACGCGCTGCGGCCGTGCGTGCCCCCGGAGTTGCCGAGCGCCGTCCAGCTCGTCTGCTCCAGCACCCTGCGCGGTTGCGCCCCTGACGCCAGCCGACCCGTGCGGTCACTTCCTTGTGCTTGCTTGGCGTAGAAATTCGGTTCCTCGCTCCCTGGTCCGGCGGATGGCGGCGGCTTTTATGGAGCTAGCACTCGAGCAGGTACGGCTGCTAATCCTGCTCGCTTTGCAACTGGAGCGTGTATGATTTTACCTTCGGCTGATTGTTTTGTGTAGGCAAAGTTTGCGCTGGATAACCTCGAGGTCCCTGTTGGGTATGCTCTCGCTTATTCGCGATAGTCGTTTACTTATTCTTAGTTTGCTAATTGCTTGGCTATATCCTTGCTATTTTCCTCACTCATGTTAGGTGTGTGATTGTGGAGGACGGGAAAGTGATTTCCTCTGGTAGCAACAAGACGAATGCCACCCGAAATGTGAGATATGCTTTCTTTACTTTTTTTACTGGAGCCTGTAGATGCCAGCGTTAAGATGTTTCTTTCTGTGTGTTCGTTTGGTCAATTCATGTCATTATGTTGTGACTTTCCATGTTGCAAGGCTACCAGACATGCTGAGATGGAAGCTATCGATGTCCTGCTTCGGGAGTGGCAAAGCATGGGTCTTGATCAGCCACAGGTCGCAGAGAAATTTGCAGGATGCGATCTTTATGTCACGTGTGAGCCCTGTATAATGTAATGTGACAGCATTGTCGATAATTGGTCTGAAATTTTTATTGTCTATGTTCTCCTGTTAAACTGTTTGTATTTATAGGAACTTCCGATTTTGACATGCTTTGCTTTCATTGGCTAGGAATAAGAGAAGTTTACTTTGGTTGTGCCAATGACAAATTTGGAGGATGTGGATCAATCATGTCATTGCACAAGGGTGCTACTTCTTCGTCAGATGATTTATCAGGGTAAGTGGAAGGCAACACGGAACATCTTGTCAAAATGATTGCTTGTTCGTGCTGGCATAGTATGTTGCATGCGCTGTCATGATTTCTGCAAAGTTGGACCTGCTTGATCTTTCTGTTTTCATGCTTGTGATACATAGTTTTAGGCACTAACAAAGTGTACCTACAAACGTTACCTTGTATGTTTGTTTGTTAGGAGCCAAGCCTCTCTAAACCAAAAGGTTTCAAATGCACTGGAGGGATCATGGCTGAAGAAGCGGTAGCTCTTTTTAGGTGTTTCTACGAACAAGGAAACCCAAATGGTTTGTACTTTTGCATGCACGTATTATTATACAATGATTTCTAGAATTTATGCCTCTGCATAGACTTCTCATGCAGGTCTCAAGTTATAATAATATTACCCTGTGTTGCTTATTTTGATTTTGTATGGTTAGCTGGGTTCATGATTTTGTGACATTATTACACACAGCAAGTACAATTTCATTAAGCATCTTATGACTACACAGCAGGCCGAAAAAAAATTCCGAAAATTTTTATATTACATATTTTCTACTGTTTATGTTGCATATTCTTCTCTACTCAATAGATGTGTGTAGTCATAAATCATTGCTAATATTTTGTTTAGATCCATTTTTTTTAGAAAAGTCATACTTCATGTGTGAGTTTCAAAAGAAATTTCAGCAAAATTTCACGAATTTCGGGGTAACCGAAAAACTATTGAGAACCATCTATTGGTGTTATGGGAAGAAAAACTAGTGGATATATATAAAAAATAATCTTAAAAAAACATGGTTAGGCTAACAGTCATTTTGCATTATTCAATTAAGTCATTTTGCATATTTCTACAGCAAACAGAACTTTTTTCATGTCATTTAAGCTTCTGATAAAAAATTTTCTTCAATTAAGCTTCTGATGAAGTTCTTCTGTGTACATGTTTCAGCCCCAAGGCCTCACAGACCAGTACGAATGCCTCAACAATGATTGGTTTGTTTACCTGGACTACAATCATAACGCAAAAACCTCAGGAGTCAGGAGTGCAGACATACAAACTTGACTGTAAAACTAGTTTAGGATTCATTGTATGCTTGTATGCTGCTATTTGATAGTGTCTTTTTAGTCTGGGAGCGCAGCCACATTTCTTGATCGCAGATACCCAGCATGTTTGGCAATTTAAAAGGATTTGTGACAGAAGAGTTTTGTCAGTGTCCGCAAATCCAGCGTTATGCAACTGCGATATATGCTTTTCTTTGTACGAAATACTTTTGAGAGGTACCTCTATGCTTACCTCTTTGAAAATTACAAATTTGAGAGCAAAAAAATAATTTTTTAAAATTGTTTACGACTTCAAGCATTTTAAAATTGATATAATTCCTTTATAAAGCATTGAAACACCGGTTGACCACTTCTATTGGTTCTGGAAAATTTCATGCATCTTTTATCTTATTCAAAAAGAGAAGATAAGCAAGAGAGCAATGCCACAAAAACCAAGCGTGTAGTAGATATATAGAATAGATCGCATGGTGGTAGACGAGTTTTTGCTATAAGCTTTCGACCTCCTATCTATGTAAAGAGACTAAAAGCATCTCCAAGAGCGACGCTCATACGCGGCGGGCGCGCGCTAGGAGTGATCTTACGCGGCGACCTCCTATCTATGTAAAGAGCCTGGTTGCTGTGCTCGTTCGCAACATACGCGGTTGCTAGTAAGTTGAGCCCAGTAAGTTGAGCCTGGTTGCTGGACGCGCGCTAGGAGTGATCTTACGCGGCGACCTCCTATCTATGTAAATGGCGCTTCGGCTAGTTAGTTGCGAACGAGCCCAGCAAGTTGCATCTTACTCTAGGCCCATCGACTTAGGAGCCTGGTTCCCAGTCTAGCTTCGTCACAAGGCCCATTTAGCTTCTCGAGTCCAGTTTTCTACGTAAATTGATTCTCCTGTCTGGTTTATTTGGACCGCCATTTTTTCTCTAGCTTTTTGTTTTCTTTTTCAGGATAGCGGCAGGTGTGGGTAGTGAATGGGCGGGGAAATGGTTTTACTTACATATATAAGTAGAAGTAATAAGCTAGAACACAAAATGACATAAATCAACTTTTTGTAAAAAAAAGAAGAGAGAAAACGTTTATTACGTAATAACCGGTTGGAACGAAATGCTTTTTCATCGAATGAACAAACTTTAAACTAGAACACTAAAAACTTTGTATTTCCCGCACCATAACTTTTGCACTTGGACCTAAAACTTTGTAATTAAAAAACTTTCAACAACACAAATTTTCTCTGAGATTGCTTGATTGAAACGATAAAAAAGGGGTGTACCCAGTGTAAAGAGCTTTCGCTCTGTGCGAGATCTGGGAAAGAGTGTCAAGGTTGGCCCGAGCTTACCTCAATGCATGCAATAACTGAGGAGATCATGACTTTCGAACCGGGACCTTCCTAGTCCATGACGGTAATACTCTACCGCTTACACGGGCCCGCCTTTCACTTGATTGAAACGATACAAGAAAATAAATAAAAAGATCCATAAAACAGACATTCAAAGTAATAATTGCACAAAAAACTACCTATTACACACATTTGTATAGTTTGATAAGGAAAGATACAACGGTAAATAATCAGAACATATCAAAATACAAATTTCAAAAGACTAACATCTATTTACACACCATGGCCTTTTGTTTAGATTGCAAATTTTTGCAATCAACAACTATAAGACGTTCGTTTGTATTTGACAAACTTTGTCCGATCATGGACTAACTATGCTCAAAAGATTAGTCTCGTGATTTATAACCAAACTGTACAATTAGTTATTTTTTATCTACATTTAATACTCTATGCATCGTCCAAAATTGATGTGATGAAGAGAGAGTGAAAAACTTAGAATTTAGGAGGTGATCTAAACAAGGCCCATATCACGTTGAAAAGTGAAAAGCAACTTATCAATCTAAAGACAATCAGTTTAATTTTGAGGAAGAGCACCGATTGCGAACAGGCTGCAAGTTCAGCACCATAAGTCTGCTGTAGTTTTCCGATCACTTTTCCTCCCCGATCAACTAGTGTATCGTCTTCATACTTCAAATTGACCTGCAACCAGTAAAAGATAACCACATTGATAATTAAGGTATGAGAGCGAAAATAAAGAAATTCAAGAACTTTATACTAGCACATTTAAACTTTGTACTTTAAGATTTAAAACTTTGTAATTTCAAAGTTTATTTTAAAATTATAGAACTTTATACCAACACATTTTAAAGTTTTTATTTCAAGATTTAAAGCATTGTAATTTTCAACTTTACATTTTAAATTCAGGAACTTCATACAACCACCTTTAAAACTTTGTATTTTAAGCTTTAAAACTTTGTAATTTCAAACTTTACATTTTAAATTCGAAACTTTATACTAGCACATTTAAAACCTTGTATTTCAAGCTTTAAAACTTTGTAATTTCAAATGTTACATTTTAAATTCAGGAACTTTATACTAGCACATTTAAAACTTTCTACTTTAAGATTTAAAACTTTGTAATTTCAATTTTTTAAAATTTAGAAACTTTATACTAGCACATTTTAAACTTTGTATTTCAAACTTTAAAACTTGTAATTTCAAACTTTACACTTTAAATTTAGGAACTTTATGCTAGCACATTTAAAACTTTCTACTTTAAGATTTAAAACTTTGTAATTTCAATTTTTTTTAATTTAGAAACTTTATACTAGCACATTTTAAACTTTGTATTTCAAACTTTAAAACTTGTAATTTCAAACTTTACACTTTAAATTTAGGAACTTTATGCTAGCACATTTAAAACTTTTTAATTTAAAATTTAAAACTTTGTAATTTCAAAGTTTATATTTGAAATGTAGGAACTTTATACTAGCAAATTTAAAACTTTGTATTTCAAGCTTTAAAAATTTTGTAATTTCAAATTGTACATTTTAAATTCAGAAAGTTTATACTAGCACATTTAAAACTTTATACTTTAAGATCTAAAACTTTGAAATTGGCAAGACACGTCACTTTCCATCCATCTGAATCATCAAATGAGCCGAACTTTGTGCTCAACTAGACTAATGGTCCTGGGCGTTGTAGTATTTTTCGCTATACTTCATTGATGTCACAGAACCGACCAATTTATAAGAGTACAAGTACGAAAACAATCGCCGAAACGATCAAATTCTCGAACTTGCGCCCATATAAACCCGGTAGTCAACTGAAATCACGACGGATTTCAAACCAACTTGCATACAACCAAGATCACAGTAATTCAACATAACATATCGACGTTACAACATTTCATGAGACGTTCGCAAAAATAGATTACATCAACACACGAGTCATCGTTATTACAAAACAAGTCTTGTAACATAAGCGGAAGCAAATAGTTTAACTCACACACGAGTTCAATACCGCATTACCGGTTTATTGATCACATCCCACAAAAGCATTCGGATAAGATAACGAGATCATGCCTGTGATCTAGTCTTCGCTCACCCGCCGGGTGGAGACAATACTACGAATCCACGATAGAGAAGGTCATACGCAACAAGAGGGAATAAACCTGAGTGCACGGGAATGTACTCGACTAGACTTACCCGACGGAAACCAAAATAAAAAGGACACCAAGGATCATGCATAGCTTTATTTAGTGGATCTGGTGACACTTTCTTTTGCGAGAAAAGCATATGTAATAATGATTAACTTTTATCCTGAACTAGCGGTGACTTTAAGCCATTAACTTTGTCATCTATATTACTTTAGCACCATTTTAATCAACCACTTGATTAATATGCAAACATTAATAACCATAGCGGTATAATTCTCGGCAACATTATCATCATCATCATCATTATCCATTTAACCATATCGTTAAATTAATTGAATCTACGTTAGCCGCTGCTCAAGTCAAGTTCTCACTATCCAGGAGAGACGGCGATTCGAATCGATTCCTATCCAATTGGAGGTATTCCTAACACAAACCACGCTTCCCCGTCGAGAGTCGCAAACAAGTCACCTTTGGTACAACTTTCGGAGAAAAGTAAAAAGAAAAGACGCGGGTCCGGCCGCCTGCATTCTCGAGAGAACCACTCTGCCAGAAGTGCGGGATCTTAAACCACGACTCCCCTTGGACTTATGCCAATGGCTCTCCGCACATCCTTACTACCTCCAGAATGCATCCAACCCCCACGGTTCCCGGCTTTGAGTTGAGCTACTCGGCCATTGGCGGTCGAACGACTTATCCGACCCGACTAAGTGTTAGGCTGCGTTCAACATGACATGAGGACGTCTGATATCGGTCCTTAAGCGACCTGAGCACGGAGTCACTATGTTCAAACCTACACAAGACTCACTTGGGTCTTAATTCATTATTCACATGGTTCTTTTCACGATAGCAAATATAGCCAACCGTGATCCACCTCATCCTAAATCTCGCAGTGATGGCGAAATCACCCGACTTCTACCGCACTAAGCATGGCTAAGCATTTAACCCGTTCTGAACTTAAATAGGATTCGGTCGATATATCTGAACAAGGAGGATATATAATGCGACAATTGGTTCCAACCAATTCCTATACTTAATGCATCATCAACAATAAAGATACTCAATATATTTGTAAAGACATGGGAGACTTATAATGCTCAGGGCTTGCCTTTCAGGGAAAAGAGGAAATTTGGTGATGATCGAACACTTCGGGCAACTCCTCGGCGGACGGCCGCTTCTTGACTTCACGCACACGGGCTCCTCCTCTGGTTGGCTCCCTCGAACTCCAAGAACGTCACTCCCTCCCAAGCACCTATTGCATGAATCATAAGATAAGTATCATGGATGCACATGTCACGAATGTCGGGGATGCTCGGGAATGCACATGCTCACTGCAGTTCGCATATTCCAAGTTAAGCTTTATTCAATACACTTTACTTACCAAGTCTATACAACCTAATGTATAATTGCTCATCTTGATTAATGACCTAGCACCTGCACCTAAGCATATTCTCAAGTTAGGCTAACCCCCAAACAATCAACGATTACGTTGCAACACATTCAATCAAGCATTTGTATTTGACA